CCCCACCCAACAACCTTTTTGCAATCTTTATTCTCTGCTACTATTTGCCAACGGTGCTTTAATCCAAAACCCAACCCAACTCAACTCCCCCCTCTCCATCCCAAATACGTTTATCTACATTTTCTTTTTTGTTTTTTCATTCCCTTTGACATAATATTCATCCGATTCTTTTTTAAAAGCTTTGCGCCATAGTGGAACATGGTGTCACGATGAATACTACGGTTTGAAATATATTTTTTGTTTAACTTCAACGAAATCTTTCCACGTTCTTCCCGTACAACGACAATCACGTCTGATGTCCAGTGTTAAAAGTATTCTTTTTTTTTTTTGTTTCTTTCTATCATACATTTCCATAATTTCATCTACTCGAATTGGTTGATCTAACGTGAGTAGAATTGTTTTCTTTTCTTTTTTTTCTCTTCGTTTTTTATTAGAAACGTCGGAGACCTTTACAAGATTTTCAGGGTATATTTTCGATGTAATTATTTTAAACATATTAAAAAAAAAAGGGGCCAACCATTAACACAATAACAATGATGTATAATATATCGTTTCGATTAATATAATTTAATATATTTAACGATTAAATAAATTTAATATAATTTATAAATAAACAATTCAACAATAGTGTTGTCAAATTATTATCGATATAATTACAAATTGTCGATCTAATGTTCTCCAATAAAAAAAAAAAAAGAAAATAATTATTTTGTAATTATTGGATTAATTTTGTTTACATATATATATATTTTGTTATCGTCGTTAAATTGTTAACGGTGTGTCTGTTAACTTCTTAAAAGATACTACAATAACTTGTGGAACGGTCGATTAGTTCATCGATCATATTTCGCCTGACTGCTCTCTTGCTTGCTTGCTTGCTTGCTTGCTTGCTTGCTTGCTTCGTCTGCCTAGTTCATCCGCCATCTTGTCGTATAACTGTCGCCTCCAAAGATATTTTCCACGTGCATCGACGGTTTATTGATTTTCGCGGAGAAACTTCCTTTCGCAGACGCAAACCTTATCCCACATTTGCCATTTTACTTCACCATGCTTAACATTATTACATTGTTCTCCACACTTTTATCGATAACTATTCAAACTAACCATCTTTATCTTTTTCTTTCTCTTTCATACGAAACTCATGTATTTCGAAACGATTTTACCGAAAGAATCTGATTTTTGTTCGGAAAATAATTACCTTATACTATATCCGAATAAATTTTATCGATTTATTTGAGACAATTTTTCTTACCCCACCTAAACAAATAAAAAAGAAACTTAAAGAATCTAACCTGTTTGTACGGTGTGTCCACGTAAAAATAATTTATTATATTATTTGGAAACACATTTTTATTATGCTCGCAAATATAATATTTCATAATCTTCAATTTGTGTTTGATCACATTATCTCTATGGGGAATAAATTGAGTATTATTGAAAATAAATTCAAATAAAAAAAAAAAAAACAAAGAAAAAAAAACGAAAAAAAGGATTAACATTACGAAACGAAATAATATGAATTTAATTGTAATCGTGCAAAAACAAAACAAAAATAATATCTGCCCCCGTAGTGGGTATAACAAAAAAAAAAGAAAAAAAAAAAAA